TGGCTCATGCTGCCACCAAATCTCATGCTCCTTACCTCATGATCCATCATCCACCCCATCACTATACTATACCACACACTCTTCCACACTCAATCACCCTTCCACCCCTAACCCTTAAAAAACAGCTCACCCAATATCCCCTAAATTTAAACAGAACAGTAATAAAATACACGACGAACATTGCAAGAGAAGAACTATAGGGTAGTGTTCACATTCAGAGTTACCAGAGTAGATAATTCAATGAGTGAGTAGGCGAGGACAACCCAGACATCATAGCTATTACAGAAACTCACGAAATAAATAATGCAGGGGTTCCCATATAATGTACTAGTTTGTACATGATGTACAGATCCGTAAATACCGTATGGGTCTACACATGATGTACGGAACTGTACATAATGAATGGGTACGGACATAATATACGAGTCCGCAAACAATGTATGGTCAGTGCGTAATATGCTGGACCCATTCATTACATGCAGACCCGAACATTACTTACCGACTCGTACACTAAGCTCAGGTCTTTACATAATTCGGTAAGTGCAAAAGAAGAGGCGTTACGCTGATAGCGAGAAACAATTGGGCATTCTGAGAGCTGGAAAATATGAATACCTGGGAGAGTTCAGAGGGTAAACATCAGGTACAGTAATGACCGTAGAACTAGTGGTGCTGCCTCTCCGCTGACAGCTACTGGGGTATCTCTCTCTCCTGGCTTCGAGAGCCTTGCAGTACCTCTTCTTAAAGCTATGTATGGATCCTGCCTCTACCACTCCGCTGTGCTGATTATTCCACTTAGTTTCAGACATACCAGGAGGCCAGGGACAGAATGAAGTCAGAGAGAGAGAGAGAGAGTTTTAACATTCTCAATTCCATTTCCGGAGACAGCAAACACGTCATGTTTGACAGTCATTTCTCCTCAAGCCATCGTCCTCGCCCTGAGAGACACGACAGCTCTGACTGGGGAGTCAGAGAATGCAGTAGTATAGATGGAGTGGTAGGACACTGCAGCACAATATCTTGGTACAGAACGGTAAACACTTCGGACAACTTTTTCAAGTGAGAAGGGATGGATTTAAGAAGGACCTGACCTCTCAGTGATTACCTTCTTTCTTCTACTAATGGGCTACATCTCACCTTCTGGAAGCATATAAGTCTCCATACTGAAGTCTCAACTTTACATTGATTTTAACTCTGAAACAACTCTTCTCCAGGCTGAGGGACCGATTACCTCAAAATTACGTCTTTAAGGGTGATAGACTAATTACATCGTCTTCACATCTACTGCTTCTGTAAATTCCTTTATACTCGACTTAAGAAGGCTGCTGTGTAGGTGAAAAGTTTCAGAATCGAGGTACCTAACTGTTGCATATATGTCTTACTAACTCACTTCAGAGAAGCTTATTTAATGGCAAACTTTTATTCGGTTTAACACAGCTGTTTCGACTAATTATTTTATTAATATGACTCTGCCCATAACATAAACATTATCATCATAACATCAGTAATCATAACATTACGATACTCTGAGGATTTTTTTTTCTAATATTCATTCTTAAGAAAATATAAGACAACACCGTGACTGGAAGAATTTTCAGTTTCCAAAATACCCGGAGTTGGGAGAGCGAAGCTTAGTCGATGTTTCGATCAGTTTTGGGACTAACATTAGGCCACAGCTTATGATCTGATAATGATCCAGGACAGACTGAAACCAGTTCACATTATTATTATTATTAGTATTAACATAAGACAACGGTAAACCCATAAATGTCGTACAGGTTTCGATTCTGCAGCCGAAATGGTTGGTTTATTGTGCACTCTATGTGCACAGGGCCTAGAAAATAGGCCCCAAAAGAGTTAACTGCAGTAAGTGTGGATATATATTTACAGTTGATGCCTCACGTATTGCAAGCAAATTTAAGAGATTTACCTTTAATATCTGATACTTCATTTCCATTTAACTGTTTCCTTGGCTTAGTGTATATTTTCCTCAACTAATGGATATTCAGGAGATTGACAGTATAACTGACCACTTACTTTGCTGTTAGTGTATATTTGGTGTACCTGAGTATATGCCAAGCTGTCAGAAGTACTTGAAATCAAGCCTGGATACTCAGCTTCAGGCAGTCTGTATACAATTTACATACATGTTGCTACCTTGATTGTTCTTATCTACGTTCCTGTTATCGTGGAAAGTTACGGTCTACTCGGGTTTCTAACTGTATTCCTGTGACTTTCAGATTCATTGTTAGCTGCTTGTTTACTTAGAGTTTAGGTAAGACCCTTGTGGGATGAGCGGGGAAGTGGTGATAGAGAGGGACAGGGCTTAACCCAATAGATTGACTCGTTATTTTCTTCTCTCCTGGTGTTACTTTCAGTGATTAACACATACACACCAAGGTTATATTTAACTTGTTTGCCAAGTTGCTTTCATGGCTAATTGATCAACTTCATCATGTAGGAATAATTCACTGTGTGATGAAGCCAGTAAGAAATATACAGCGTTTACGTTCAGAGCGATTTAACATCCATGCTTGACCTCTCCAGTGACCATGATCATGGAACATCTTAATTGACGATCATACAACAACTTATCCGATCATCTCACCGAACTGGAGATTTAGATTAGATTTTGCCACCGGATTAGCTAGTTTATCGTACACTCCCATATCCATCCTGTGGACGGTAGCGCAACAGTATAAAGATTCACAATAGGCCTAGGAACTAGGTCTCAGAAGAGTTAGCAAGAGTACATCTCGATTTATATACACAGTTCACTTATCTCTTATCGATCCAAATCCCTGGATCGAAAGCTCTTTGCAAGATTCAAGGCATCTCTACCTGGAAGAGATTAAATCCCCAAATCTTTCACCTGCTCCAGCCTCTTAACAGCACAGCCAGACTATATTCTGCATTCTGTAGTGGGGTTTAAATTCGGTGATGCTGCCTTATCTCGTGTCGAGGGAGTTGAGAAACGACAGTGATCTAGGAAGGACCGAAATGTTGCCGTAATTCTCTCTTCCTACGTGTGGAAATTTTCTGAATTGTTCCATCCAGGGAATTGTGATTTGTAGTCTTCAACAGTTGAGAAACGTCAGTGGTCTAGGAAGGACCGAAATGTTGCCGTAATTCTCTCTTCCTACGTGTGGAAATTTTCTGAATTGTTCCATCCATGATGATTAAGACACATGTGCAACAGTTGAGTATGTTTATTGATGAAACGTTTCGCTCACACAATAAGCTTCTTCAGTCCAATACAGAAGAAGCAGTAGTAATGAAATAAAGATGATGTAATCAGTCCATCAACCTTGGTGGAAAAAGTATTTGAGGTAGTCAGTCCCTTTGTATTTGACTAAAGAAGCCTACTGTGTGAGCGAAACGTTTCGTCAATAAATATACCCAACTGTTGCACATGTATCTTAATCTTCAATATCGTATTGCTTACCATCGACCACTTGAGCCACTACTATGGCCTGATAATGGTCTGGGACCGAGCGAAACGTCGTTCTTCAGTTCTCTGGTACCAAAGCTTTATTGTTTATGTTAAATAAGACAAGTGTAAAATTTGGATATCCTTATAACCGAAACGTTTGCTTACAAAGATGCCCAATAAAGATATTCGGGCGAAACGTTTCTGGAGAAGAGATACCCAAGTCTTGCGTGTGTTTCATTCATCAAAAAATTGTTGGAATTGTATATGACATGATGTACTATCCATGTATATACTAATCAATGTATATACTATCAATATTCTATCAATGTATATGCTATCCATATATATACTATCCATGTATATACTAATGTATATTATACACACGTATATACACCCATGTATATACCACCCATGTATATACTACCCATATATATACTACCCATGTATACACTATCCATGTACATACTATCCATGTATATACTAATGTATATTATACACACGTATATACTACCCATGTATATACTATCCATGTATATACTATCCATGTATATACTAATGTATATTATACACACGTATATACTACCCATGTATATACTATCCATGTATATACTACCCATGTATATACTACCCATGTATATACTACCCATGTATATACTCTCCACGTACACAATGTTCACATTAACTATTAAGTTCCTGGCACTGTGGTAAGGCATTCCGCTCATAACTGAAGGACCCGGGTTCTATCCTGGAGGAGGTGGAGACTTTAGGCACGCTTCCTTACACCTGTTGCACCTGTTCACCTAACAGTAAATAGGTACCTGGGAGTTAGCTGACTGTTGCTGCTGGCGTCATGGGACACGAGAATCAAAGAGCCTCATTGGAAATACATCCCGTTCTTCTTCTCTTTCTTCCTTCCTTTCTCATCAGTCGTTTTCTCTTCTACTTCTCCTCCTCCTCCTTGTCCAATTCCTTCTATTCTTCCTATTGTTTTCATTTTATTGACTTGAATTCCAAGCTGATGAATATTTACGTCATTAAACATAGGTATTAAAGAAGTTCCGGGGAACAGCTGTCTGAAGAGCTTACCTCCAAAGAAATTTGGAGGCGCTTGTGAGATGTGACGGAGGAGAGGTGGGCGGAGCCTGGGAGAGGAGAGGCGGAGCCTGGGAGAGGAGAGGCGGAGCCTGGGAGAGGAGCTGGGCGGAGCCTGGGAGTGGTGGTGGGCGGAGTCTCAGAGATGAAGGGGGGCGGAGCTAAGAGGCTGCGATACTCTCCAACGACTGCCAGAGGCTTTATTTAACTTTAATTTTCCCTATCCCGAGAATACCTTTTTAAGTAACGTGTATCGTGTATGTGGTAACGCATCGACGCATCGTGGTAACGAGAGTACGTCAAAGAAATATGTGCAACGGAGGGATGAAGTGTGGGTTTGTAAACCGTGTGGGGAGGGGAAGAGGAGGAAGATGGTGGTGGGGGGAAATGGAGTCAGGTGTTGGCTTGGGGGTGTTGGCACCACTGTCGGCGGTGAATGCGGTGCACCGCCAGGCCGGCGACCTCACAACCGCGGGCAGGTGCGGTAAGTGCGGACCTCGACACACCACCTGTCCATTGATCGGCAGTGATTGACGCGCTCACACACGGGCCGCAAGTGGTCGCGCAAGCACTCAAGCGCCGCAGGACGCTACCCAAGGTTTGAGATACCGTAGTATTACAGGCGGTTTTGTGGGACCTCCTCCCGAGGTGAAGAGACTACCTGAAGTGGAAGATACCGCAATCTTACAGGTGCTGTGAGCCTTTTCCTGAGGCTGGGAGATACCAGAGGCACTGCAAGATTACCCGAAGTGGAAGATACCGTAATCTTACAGGTGCCTGGGTCTTTTTCCTGAGGCCGTGGGATACCAGAGACTCTCCAGAACTCTTCCTGAGGCTGGAGGATACTGGAGAGTTGCACCTTCAGGAGTTTCTTCAGGTTCTGAGTGCGAGAGTTGCCTGGCACTCTGGGCAGTGGGCACTGGTGGTGCATGATGACTGTGGAGGTGTGCGGGCGGGTGTCGGTGCCTAGCGTGACGCCCACGGGCGGCGACTCCACCGATGACGCCCACAGTGAGGTCTCTCCGCCCCCCGCCCGCGACACCACCGACCCTCCCGTCCACCGCCCGAAGTTCATGATCACGGATATCCTGGCTCAAAGGGGGCCGCCTACGCCCACGGAGGAGCGAGGAGAGGGCTGCGCGCCACCCACGACGCCCGCCAGAGACGCCCTCAAGGCTCTGGGTGGTCACGACGATGACCAGCTGGGAGACCAGCTGGGAGACCAGCTGGGAGATGATGGTGCTACCCATGATGAAGACAGTGAGTATAAGTTTCTAACCTCCTGGGGTGACTTGGGATGACCTGTACGGTGACCTACTGTGACCTGAGGTCACCCGAGATTATCTACGGTGACCTGAGGTGCTATACGGTTATCCTAAGTCACCTAGTGTGACCTGGTATAATCCCGACATGACCTACGGTAACCTGAGGTAATCTACGGTTATCTGAAGTGACCTACGGTAACCAAGTGTGACCTGACATGACTTTATGTGACTTCACGTGACTTGAGGTGACCTGGGGTGACTAACCTTCTGTGACCCCAGATCACTCTTGAACTGTGACCCCTGGTGACCTAGTTTGACCCAGGTCACTCGAACTGAGGTGACCCCTGGTGACCTAGTGTGACCCCCAGGTCCCAAGAAAAACAAAATAAAGAGCGAAACATCTCTCACATCACGACCTCCAAAATAGGAAGGTAATATCTGGACGCTTCGGTCCAACCTGGACCATCACGACCATACTGTAACGTCGAGCATTGTCTAATATCGAAAAATAGGCAGAAATTATTATTATTATTAATTACATTCATAACAACTGAGCTTCAAGAATTATAATTCACAACCGGAGAGAAAGATTTTTGCAATTTCTTATAATATAATAATCAACATTACGGGGTCTCGTCAGCTACGAATATCAGGACCCGCTTCTGGAAGATGATTTAATACTGAATGTGGGTAGACATTCGTAAGATTCACCTGTCGTGTGTTCCCGAGACAGAATATAACGATCAGCACTGATGCCAGAGTGCAAAACTTTTAGCATGCTTCCTCTACAGGTAAAAATGTTTATATACAAATATATACCTAAGGAAGGGAGATAGATGTGGTAGGTAGAAGGCTACATTTCGCGAAATGTAGCCTTAATTAGCATGTGTTAATGTCTCATTAGTTAAAATTACCTTACATAATGGAGGTAATTTAACATTATTTAAGTTTTATAGATATACAAAAGATATACTGAGAGGGCAAAGATATACTAAGATTCAGGGCAGCTGGAGTGAGATGCATTAAACAGCTCAAATCATGCAGGATCGGGGAAGTATAATGAACACTGGTCTGTGAGAGATAAATCTCTCAGTAGACAACATCCCAGGAAGAGGACCTCACCTGGAGGTCAAAGTACATAGCCTACCATCCTTCATCTTTTTTTTTTTTTGCCTCCTTGTGGGACTATACTCTCATCTCATGCTTATTTTCACGGTGGACCAATAAGCCAGTGAAAGACCGCGGTCAGAAGACCCCGAAGTTCCAATCAATGGTCGTCATGCGAGACCCGCGTCGGTAAATAAATTAAACTACCTGACAAGCACAGAACTTCCCGTCTCAAGAACCTGGTGATTACAAGCACGTGTTAGCAAGCAGTTTGTTAACTGTTAACAACAGGTGGAGGTTAACTGAACTTGTTGGGTGTTCTGACCTTCCTCAGAAGCTAAGTTGCTCGGTAAATCTCGCTACTAGAGATTGAACTAGAGATTGTATATATTTTGGTAGAATTACCGACAATATGTAAAGTAAAAGGACACAAGTGCAACTAATGTGACATTTTATTGTGGCAACGTTTCTCTCCTGGAGAGCGAAACGTTGCCACAATAAAATGCTACATTAGTTGCACTTGTGTCCTTTTACTGAACTAGAGAAGATAGGGGGAGGAACTGATTTTTGGTGTTGCAGTGTGTAGGTGATAATTTTCTCTCTCTCTCTCTCTCTCTCTCTCTACATATATATGCCGTGCCGAATAGGTAAAACTGGTCAATTAGCAAGAACTCATTTAAAATTAAGTCCTTTCTAAAAAATTTTCTTGTACGCTTAAAGATATATATTTTTCATTTATGTTAATGTAAAAATTAATAATTTCGTACCAAAAGAACCGTAGAAAACTTACCTAACCTTATTATAACAAGCGCAATTTAATTTAGCCTAATCCAACTAAATATATTATCAGTAAGTTTACATTAATTTAATTAATAAACACAATGAAATATATTTTTTTCTTTAGGCTCGGAATGATTTTTGCGATATTATAACATACAAAATTTTTCACTTGCTTATTCGGCAAGAAGAGAGTTGCTGTTTAAGCCAAAATCGCAAATTTTACCTATTCAGCACGACATATATATATAATGTACACATTATATATATATATATATATATATAATATATATATATATATATATATATATATATATATATATATATATAAAATATAGGGAGGTACCACCTCTAGAACTGTTATGGGGACCCTCATCCTCAGAGAAAAGAATAAACTTGCTTCTGGGAAAACTCAAGATTCTCCCTGAAGCTGTTTTGAGAATTTTCTCCTACCACCCCCCTATATTATGTATATATATTTTATTTAAAGACAAAATACATTGACAAAACATTTCACAAAATATGATACAAAGTTAAAACAACATAGGTAACTCAGAGCTACATCTCGAATACTTCGTCACTCCCCTGCAGTGACGCGTGCCAGAATTCTGCAGCATTTCCTCTCTATTATCGCTAACACTGAGTTTATCTGATAAGAGGAAGCTGGTCGCCCTGTGGTCTTGGTTTCTATAATACTTTTCACTCAGCTTTTGAAGAGAACTTTAGAGCATCACTTGCCCCAGCTCCAAGGTCACACCGACCCATGACAATGATATATATATATATATATATATATATATATATATATATATATATATATATATATATATATATTATATATATATATAATGTACATATATATATATATAATGTACATTAATATATATATATATAATATATATTATTATATATATATATATATATCAGATTCGATCCTAGGGGAAGGAAGAGGATACCTCCAGTTTCCTGGAACAAGAGCCCTTCATTTGGATCAATACATTCATGATCTAACCTTTCTTCCCTTCAGGAGGGCTCTTGATCCGAGAAATTGCAGCTACTCTTCCATTTCCTCGGATTAAACCTATGTCCTATTTTCCAGGCGTTAGATAACCCTCAGTGGTACAGAGCGCAGAGAGCCACACAAGCGCCATCTATGGGAGTAGAGAACGTTTCGCTCTGTGTAGAGCTCTACAGAGCGAAATGTTGTTCCAGTGGAAGATTATTTTTATTGTGAGTTTATGTTGTACTCCTCACTATGTACTTCCCCACTATGATACTTCCCTTTATTTACTCTGTACTTTCCCACTCTGTACTTCCCTATGTACTTCCCTCACTATGTACTTCCCTCACTCTGTACTTCCCTATGTACTTCCCTCACTCTGTACTTCCCTCACTCTGTACTTCCCTCACTCTGTACTTCCCTATGTACTTCCCTCACTCTGTACTTCCCTCACTATGTACTCCCTATTACTTCCTATGTATTTACCCTGCTTCCTCACTCTGTACTTCCCTATGTACTTCCCTCACTATGTACTCCCCTATGTACTTCCCTATGTACTTACCTCTGTACTTTCCTCACTCTGTACTTCCCTATGTACTTCCCTCACTATGTACTTCCCTCACTCTGTACTTCCCTATGTACTTCCCTCACTCTGTACTTCCCTCACTCTGTACTTCCCTCACTCTGTACTTCCCTATGTACTTCCCTCACTCTGTACTTCCCTCACTATGTACTCCCCTATGTACTTCCCTCACGCTGTACTTCCCTATGTACTTCCCTCACAATGTACTACCCTCACTATGTACTTCCCTCACTCTGTACTTCCCTAACTCTGTACTTCCCTCACTCTGTACTTCCTTCACTATGTACTCCCCTATGTACTTCCCTCACTCTGTACTTCCCTATGTACTTCCCTCACTATGTACTTCCCTCACTCTGTACTTCCCTATGTACTTCCCTCACTATGTACTTCCCTCACTCTGTACTTCCCTATGTACTTCCCTCATTATGTACTTCGCTCACTATGTACTTCCCTCACTACGTACTTCCCCCCCCCTCTACTTTATTATCTGTTTTATTGCTGGTGCACCAATAATAATAATAATAATGATAATTGTTATGACAAGGGAACTACCCGCACGTCCTTGTACAACGTGAGTCATCCGCTGCGCTTGTTACAACCCAATCATCGTCAGAAATGACGATTTAAATATAATTACTACGATTATTACAATCATGGGGAAGCGCTAAACCCGTAGGATTATACAGCGGTGGAGGGGTGGAAGGTATTCAGGCTAAATTCAGGGAACCGGAGCACAGATCCAATTCCCTAGATCAAGAGCCCCTCACCAGCGTCAAGGAACCTCCCTTGAAAGGATAATTACTACGAACTGTACCCATTAAGGAATTAATGTGCACTAATATATATATATAGATAGATAGATATAGATAGTAGGGACGATGATTATACATTTGTTTTAAGAGATATCATGTATAATGTAGATCCATTAATATCAGTAACAGAGAGGACACGAGATCAGAATCTTAGATTACCCCCCAAAAATGGCGCAGGGGCATTAGAAAGCATAGCTTCTTAAAGAGAATGGTTGATGGGTGGACTGGGGTGAAAGGAAAGTTTTGTGTGTGTGTGTGTGTGTGTGTGTGTGTGTGTGTGTGTGTGTGTGTGTGTGTGTGTGTGTGTGTTGCAACTAATGCCTTGTTTAAATATGTATGGGGAGATGATTGATCCACACAAGATCCAGACACAGCGAGCATAGCTTTGTTTCTGCAGCTGAATGAGCGTTCATCCACTACCTACCTGCACGCACACGCACACGCACACGCACACACACACACACACACACACACACACACACACACACCACCTGTTTTAGATTATACGTTTACACCTTGCCTGATCAGATGGTCTTACATATCCCTGTTTGCTGACACGAAGCTCACGGAGAGGTTGAAAAATTAGTCAAGGTCTTCACAAGCGCCGGACAGACAGTAAAAATGCTCGGTTAAGTGGTTGTTAGATTCCAGTGCCAGCAAGTCCAAGGTTATAAAAATCGAGGAGAGAAAAGACCAGATGTGTAGTACAGGCACAAGGAACGGGGACTACAAACCTCAGAAAATAAACACAAAACACAACACAGGAGACATACATTGTCCACATAACGAAAGTAATGCAAATATGATTAGGAAAGCTTAAAAAGGGCATTCAGGAATGTTAACAAGTTTTTCAACATGTCCTTAAACAACGTAAGTCAGACTCTACAGAGTACAAGCACCAGCAGGAAGCATCCCTCGTATTATTATAATCATTGGGAAGAGCTAAATTCGTAGGATTATACTGCACATGTAGGGGGGGATGAAAGGTATTCAGGTTTAATTCAGGGAACCGTAGCACAGATCCAATTCCCTAGATCACGAGCCCCTCATCAGCATCAAGGAACCTCCCTTGAGGGGAACAACCCTCGTAAGAACACGTCATAAGAAAGAAAACTCAGATACACTACGGGAGATTTCATCGTGGACCGGGCCGCCGGAAAACCCTCCAGGCATACGGAGCTAAGAGGTGTGACCTGGCAAGAATGATTCAGGAAACTATTCCCTTTAAAGGTTGAGGACAGGAGAACCAGCAGACACTATAAGGCAGACAGCCTGACGTGACAGAACCGGGAACAAGGAGATAAAAGATAGAAGGAAAAAAATGAACTTCGTCAGGTTAGGTAAGATTAGGTAAGATTAGGTAACATTAGGTAAGATTAGGTAAGATTAGGTAAGATTTGTCAGGAAACATGAGAAAGCCTTAGAGCGATTAAGAAGAGGAACTAAACAAATAAAGAGGCGACAGTTCCCACTAAGTTAATCCCACACTTGTTGACAAACAAATGACCCACTGCACTCCAGCAACAGCAACCAGACACGCAACAGCAGTAAAGTCAACTAACATGCCATCCTCTACTTCCACTCTTATCCCAGTACCCAAAAATGTCCTTCACCAGGTTCTCTTCCCACAGCCTTTTTCACAACACCTTTCAAAGGGAGGCCTTTTATTGCCGGTGAACTGCTCCTGAGTCAAGGGAATGGAGCAACTCTTCCTCATATTGACCCTGGTTAGTTCTTAGTCATCAGACTGACCCCTACGAGCTAATTGCTTTCCAATAATAATAATAATAAATAATGATAATAAACAATAAATAACTGATTGATAATAATAATAATAATAATAATAATAATAATAATAATAAATAGACAATAATAATAATAATGTTCTTATTTATCAAGACGCACGAGGCGTTCTTGGATTAATACGGATTTCTCGCATCCCTGTCGACGAGAACCTAACAGTGAATCTGGATAACTCAACCTTACTCCATCGTTCTTCCTTTTGGCTAAACTTGGAATTGAGTGGATAGGATCTGAGAGTGGATAGAGATGGATTAACAACTCACAGATAATTGCAACAGTTGATTTGCAACTATAGTTGCAGTAGATAAAACAGCTTATGTTGCAGTGAATCAACATAGATTTTCCCCTCTCTGACACGAATCAAATTTGTTGTACAAGTGTCAGGATTAATTCCGAGCAGTGAGAAAGCTGTTAGCCCAGCACTTCCTGCACACTGGTTGTCCCATCTGGATAATTGGACGGTTAATAGTTGTGGATGGACTGCTAAAGTGTGTGTGTGTGTGTGTGTGTGTGTGTGTGTGTGTGTGTGTGTGTGTGTGTGTGTGTGTGTGTGTGTGTATCTCCTTGTGTGTATAGTGTGTGTGCGCGTGCTTGTGTGTACTTGCTTGTGTGTGCGTGCCTGTGTGTGCGTGCTTGTGTGTGCGTGTCTGTGTGCGCTTGCTTGTGTGTGAGCGCGCGTGTGTGCACCGCGTGATCTCACAATACCGGCGTCATCACTCGGAATAGTTTACACATACGTAAATTTTAAAACACACACACACACACACACACACACACACACACACACACACTACGTTATCCAAACCATTACACAATTCCAAGAATCCCTCCACAAATCACACATTCTCATTTACAACGCTGAGCTTCCCGTCCAGCACAACACAATTGAATCACCTGTAACAAAAAAAAAAAAAGGTATATCACATAATTTTAGAGGAGACGCCCCTCGCGTAATGACTGAACTGTAAAAGAAAATGGGCAGCGCATTTAGGAATAAAGCACATCGGCTTAATAAACACAATTTTTATACGAAATAAACATCTATTCGCATTAGTTATGTTTATATCAAACGAATCACACACGCACACACACATTCTGTATATATATATATATATATATATATATATATATATATATATATATATATATATATATATATATATATATTAAGTTGTATTCAAAAATCTTGATACAGTAAAAAAAACTTTTGATAAAGAATTCCCCCCAAAATGCTGATGGATGTGTCTATAAGATTCCTTGTAAAATTTGCGATAAAGTTTATTACGGTCAAACTGGTAAAAATCTCGAACTAAGATTAAAACAACATAAATATAGCATTAGAACTGGACAAGATTCCAATGATCTATTTATTCATGTAAGAGATTTTAACCATCCAATTGATTTTCAAAAAGTTGAGAAAGTAGTATCAAGCAAGTCCATGGTCGACGGGAATATAATTGAATCTTGTCTCATAAAAAGCAGTTTTGACAATAATATGAATATTTCCTTTGGTTTATATAAATTAGATCCATTTATAATTAATAGAATTTGGGAAGAATTTAATAATACACTGGACAAATATTTTTTAAAATTCTTAATTCTTGGGTAGAATGGTTTGTTGGTGGGTTGTGGGAAGGACCTGTCTAGTTGGGCCGACGGGCCTGCTGCAGTGTTCCCTTTCTATGAGTCGCGCGTCAGGTGTTGCTTTGTTGTGGGATGTGATAGTGAGGTGTGGTCTAGACCCTTTATATACCTTCCTTTGATGCATTACTTTCATTGTTCCTTGATAATGTGAGTAGTCACGAAAGCGCTTGGAATTTCTATATTCTTTCACAGTGGTTGTTTTGCATATTCTGAAATCACCTGTTTACTGTGATATTATTGCATATATAATATATATATATATATATATATATATATATATATATATATATATATATATATATAATATATATACATCGTGCCGAATAGGTAAAACTTTCGATTTTGGCTTAAATAGCAACGCTCTTCTTGCCGAATAAGGCAATCGAAATTTGTGTATGCAATAATTTCGCAAAAGCTATTCTGAACCTAACGAAAAAAATATATTTCATTGTGTTAATTATTAATTTTTACATTAACATTAATGAAAAATATATATCTTTAGACATATAAGAAATTTTTTTCAGAAAGGACTTAATTTTAAATGAGTTCTTACTGACCAATTTTACCTATTCGACACGACATTTTAGGCGAAATACAGGATACGACTAAAGAACTGGAGATGTACATAAGGTAGTCAGTCCCTCAGTATTGGTTTGTGCTTTGAACTTCAAAATTTCGATCAACCAAACTGTTGGACCTGCGTCTTGCTAGTCTAAGATACCATTTGTTTTTGACGCTAAGATATCAGTGTCCGGCAGGTAACGACACGGCTCCAGCGAACAAGAAGCAACGGAAAGCGCGTACAGCGTTCACGGACCACCAGCTGCAGACGCTGGAGAAGAGCTTTGAGCGTCAGAAGTACCTGAGTGTGCAGGACCGCATGGAACTGGCAGCCAAGCTCAACCTCACGGACACCCAGGTCAAGACCTGGTACCAGAACAGACGGTGAGTGTTGTCAGGTTAAGACCTGGTACCAGAACAGACGGTGAGTGTTGTCAGGTTAAGACCTGGTACCAGAACAGACGGTGAGTGTTGTCAGGTTAAGACCTGGTACCAGAACAGACGGTGAGTGTTGTCAGGTCAAGACCTGGTACCAGAACAGACGGTGAGTGTTGTCAGGTCAAGACCTGGTACCAGAACAGACGGTGAGGTGTTTCAGGTCAAGACCTGGTACCAAACAGACGGTGAGTTTGTCAGGTCAAGACCTGGTACCAGAACAGACGGTGAGTGTTGTCAGGTCAAGACCTGGCACCAGAACAGACGGTGAGTGTTGTCAGGTCAAGACCTGGTACCAGAACAGACGGTGAGTGTGTCAGTCAGACCTGGTACCAGAATAGACGGTGATGTTGTCAGTCAAACCTGGTACCAGACAGCGTGAGTGTTGTCAGGTCAAGACCTTGTACCAAACAGACGGTGAGTGTTGTCAGGTCAAGACCTTGTACCAGAACAGACGGTGAGTGTTGTCAGGTCAAGACCTGGTACCAGAACAGACGGTGAGTGTTGTCAGGTCAAGACCTGGTACCAGAACAGACGGTGAGTGTTGTCAGGTCAAGACCTGGTACCAGAACAGACGGTGAGTGTTGTCAGTCAAGACCTGGTACCAGAACAGACGGTGAGTGTTGTCAGGTCAAGACCTGGTACCAGACAGACGGTGGTGTTGTTCAGGTTAAGACCTGGTACCAGAACAGACGGTGAGTGTTGTCAGGTTAAGACCTGGTACCAGAACAGACGGTGAGTGTTGTCAGGTCAAGACCTGTACCAGAACAGACGGTGAGTGTTGTCAGGTCAAGACCTGTACCAGAACAGACGGTGATGTTGTCAGTTCAAGACCTGGTACAGAACAGACGGTGAGTGTTGTCAGGTCAAGACCTGGTACCAGAACAGACGTGAGTGTTGTCAGGTCAAGACCTGGCACCAGAACAGACGGTGAGTGTTGTCAGGTCAAGACCTGGTACCAGAACAGACGGTGAGTGTTGTCAGGTCAAGACCTGGTACCAGAACAGACGGTGAGTGTTGTCAGGTCAAGACCTGGTACCAGAACAGACGGTGAGTGTTGTCAGGTCAAGACCTTGTACCAGAACAGACGGTGAGTGTTGTCAGGTCAAGACCTTGTACCAGAACAGACGGTGAGTGTTGTCAGGTCAAGACCTGGTACCAGAACAGACGGTGAGTGTTGTCAGGTCAAGACCTGGTACCAGAACAGACGGTGAGTGTTGTCAGGTCAAGACCTGGTACCAGAACAGACGGTGAGTGTTGTCAGGTCAAGACCGGGTACCAGAGGAGAGACGGTAGGTGTTCCCCGGTTAAAACATGGTACCAAAACAGACGGGGAGATAGTATCAGGCCAAGACCTAATTCCAGAACAGTTTCCCCAGGTCACAACCTGATACAAGAAAAAGTCTCAGGTCAAGAACTGATACATAAACAGACGGTAAGTGCTCCAGATCTCTCCATTTTCACCTTTTACAATCTCGGTCTCTCTCTCTCTCTCTCTCTCTCTCTCTCTCTCTCTCTCTCTCTCTACGAGCTCTCTCTCTCTCTCTCTCTCTCTATAATATATATATATATATATAATACGAGCTCTCTCTCTCTCTACAAGCTCTCTCTCTCTCTACGAGCTCTCTCTCTCTCTCTCTCTGCCAGTATCTGCCATCAACAACAGACTACACCAACAAGTTTGTTTATAAAAAGACGCGGTTCATGGCATTTCACTGAGAAGACGTTTTGTCCAGCATTGACTTTTGTCAATTCCCGACTAAACCTCTGCTCAATAAATTTCCTTAAACCTTATATTTTGTCTCCTTAGCAGTACCTGACCATACCCAGTCCGGATAGTAGAGTGCGGCATTTATACGGAGGAAGATTAAATCATTCAAGACCACATAAGCGATAAAATATATTCGATTCCTTAGGTTAAAAATCTCAAGTTAAAAATAATAATGTTTATGGTCCTCATGTCTAAACACCTTAGTGGTCTTGCAGCATGTTTAAAACATGTTATTTGACTTCAAAGGGAGAATCCTCTCGTTACCGGTTATACAGCTGGAATATCCTCGATTCCCAGCCTCTTTACGGCCTGTTTAGATGCAGATGCAGAGAAGTAGACGCATATGGAGCAGATTATGTAGCATCTTATTTCCTTTTTTCAAAAAAAATATATCTAGGTACACATTTGAATAGCAAATCTTTCTAGGATACCGTCACAGACTTCTTATTCACTTGCACTCGCGAATATAGTAATTAGTTACGTGGATTTTGTATATTTGATGTAATTAATTAGAGCCATTGCGGTGTAGAGTAGGGCAGTATTTAACGTGCATTATTAACCTGCATTGAAGCGGCCAGTTTGTGAATTTTTGAGCGTGGGAAGTGTACCAGTAATTTTAAAACAAGTTTGGTTAGGTTAACTAAGTATGTTAACTCATATTTAAGTAATGTTGGATATGTATTAATTTATATTAACTATATGATTGTTTTACAGTGTGAGTGTAGTACACTGTAGTGTGAGTGTAAAAAAAACAACTGACAGCATCACTTATCTCGGCGTCATCCCGACAGGACGAAGTGGAAAAGACAGACAGCGGTGGGTTTGGAGTTGTTGGCGGAAGCTGGGAACTACGCTGCCCTGCAGAGGCTTTACGGACCTTCCTACGGATGGCCCTACCCACCACAGCCCTCTACCGCAGCAGCTGCGGCAGCCGCCGCCGCCGCCGCCGCTCTCAGCCCAGCAGCAGCCTCAGTCGACCTGTATTACCGCCAGGCCGCCGCCGCTGCGGCCTTGCAGAAGCCACTGGCGTACCGCCTCTACCCGCCTGGCCTACCCATTCTGCCCCACGTGCCGTCTGATCCGCTAAGAGATGCTCTCAGACCTGAGACCCTGAGACCCGAGGCTGTAAGGCCGGAGCTACTACGACCAGAGCTGAGACCAGATGCCCTCCGGCTGGACCGGACGGACCTGCTGAAGGTGGAGTCTGGAAAACTGGAGAGTCGCCTCTTTCCCCTGGACGCACGGCTGGTGACCTCCTCTCCCCCGGGGGAGAACGATGACGTCGACACACCCCTGGGGGACGCTGGGAGACCCTTAGGCAGCGTTCTACGATCCTCAGCGTCTCCGTCCCCTCCGTACTGTCCATCTCCAGCAGATCTCCGCATGAGGGCGTCACCAGACCCCCCAAACGAGTCTCAGAAATCCTCACAATGAACTCTTGGAAGTATCTCTCGACCCAACTCTCCTCTTCTCTTCTTACACCCATCCTTCACTCTTCCATACTCCCATCCTTTACTCTTATAACTCTCTTCACACACCTTATCTCTCTTCTTCTCCCTCAGCCATATATTGATGTCGGATGCAAAAAAAAAAAAAAAAAAGAATTAATTCCGCTTCAGTGTACCATTATGTACAAAATTAGACCCACAATAGTTTAGACGAACACCAGCATCTAGATCTACCCTTATTTATGTACAGATGTATTTACAGAAATAAATATATAACTCTGCCCATCCTTCCTGTGTAAATAATACGTTAAGGAACGCCATTACGTGATTTGTATTAGGTAACTCATCCAGGTTTGCGAGTTTATTTATAAATTATAGTGACTGCAGTCTCCAAATGGGATGTTATTTGATTGGGTGAGACGGTAGATACCTTTTCTCTGATTGGAGGAGACCGTGCATATAATCTCTGATTGGTGGAGACCGATGGTATCTTCACTCTGGTTGGCGCTGTCCCCCCAAAAGCATCCACTGGTGGTGAGAAACCTCAGTGGATCGACTCAAATGTTTAGTAATAACTGAACCGAGCCTAAGCCAGCAATAGTTGTACCCAGGCGCATATAAGGTGCAGGATATTATCCAGAATGTGTCATTATCCAGACCAAGAATCCGGCCTGGATTCATATCTTTGCCTTTCCTTCCATACCCATTCTTCTGTTCTCAGCTCATCTTCTCATTGCCTCCCTCTCTCCCAAATTCTTGTCACCGTCTCTTCAGTCCTCAGGTTTCTGCTCCTTTTCCTCGGTGTTCCTCTCCTGTCTTTTCATCTCTCAGCTTCTCTCCCTCTCAACTTCAAACAGAAATAAATAGGTTAAGAAGCCGCTCTAGTCAACCACTGCAAGCAATGCTATTGTTAGTACTGTGTGTTATATGAGATAAGTTTATGTCATTTACATTGCTAAATAAACTTGCAACAAAATATTCTGGTTTTAAGTTTCTGGAGGGTAATTAAAATTTCTGCAATGTTGCAGAAATGAGTAGGAAGTCCAGGTAGATACGTTCAAGGAAACGACAACGATTCTAGCTAGAGTCGTTGCTTTTGGCCGATGGAAAGGCAGTGGACAAACTATATATGAGAGAAGGATACAGGAAACCTCAAGATGCTCTGAAGAGAAATTATGGAAGGCAGATGAAGTGAGTTCTGTCCCAGTTATGAGATATTACTCAAGGTAACAGGAAGCTGAATTCAGTACATCATCTGGGGAAATAATAACAATCATATTACGAGGTATTCCTAAGACTGAACTTAAAAGCTACAGTATTACATGGGTGCGTGGGTGTAAACACACACACACACACACACACACATACACACACAGAGTGATGTAGTGGAGGCATGCTCCATACAGAGCTTTAAGAAGAGGTGTACGATAAAGCTCATGAAGCAGGGAGTGGACCTAGTTGCGACCAGTGAAGAGGTGGGGCCAGGAGCTATGACTCGACTCATGCAGCCGCAATTAGGTGAGTGCACTTACACACACACACACACACACACACACACACACACACACACACACACACCCCTAAGTGATGGGAAATGATGAAAAATGACACAAACAGGTGGAAACACAAATCACGAACACAGTTTACGTGAAAAATTCTTAAGAAACTCCCTACTTAATCGCATATTACTAGACTAAGTAAGCTTCGGGTACTGTGTTACAGCAGAAGAGAAAAGATCGCTGCCACATACCTGTGGAAGGTGAAGCCACCGGAGGTCAGGATACAAAGAAAACGAAGTGAATCCTACGAACGCCTTGTGAATATCATCATATGTTGGCGATCCCATCGTTTAAGGAGCTAACATCTAAACAGGGTCAACATAAACCACATAAAACCCTCTCCGAAACAAAGCAGCCCCCACATCCCACATGGCTAGATTCTGGAAATCGAGTTAGTCTAGAATTCAGTCGGCAGGAAGACACAAGGTACACACTCTCGGGTGGGGTCTTAAGTTCACCAGGACTGTGGAAGTCTGTAGGGAAGAGCACAGAAGTACCCAACTGTAGAAGACGAGGGTAAAATGAACCAAGATACCCATACCCCTTAGGTAAATACGCCCAGAGGGTAAGCAGACATAAAATGCATATGAGGCTTCCAGGAATAGCACAGATGCCCCGATTTTTAAAGTCTCTGACAACCATTAACGTCAGCTGACATGAATTAATTAGTCCAAAAAAGGACCAAATTTAAGCCCCTCTCACACAAGAATACAAAGAGTTCAAAAATACAATCACAAAAAAACTGGTTTCAAAGCAAATTTATTAATTTCATCATTTAGGAAAATACAGATACAAATATGTTCCTTAGGCTGTCAGCCCGAAACTCTCAGCAAACAATTATACAAATTACTTATCTTATATCCTATGCTGAGTGACGTATAAAGTTTGTCTTGACGACGCTGAAGATGAAATATTGATGAGGAAATACTAGACGACTGAGCAGCTATTTCCACAGGTACTGTCCACTCTCACTCTGCCTCACACTCTCACTCTGCCTCACACTGACTCTCACTCTGCCTCACACTCTCACCTGCCTCACACTGACTTCAACTCTGCCTCACACACTCTCACTCTGCACTACACTGACTCTCACTCTGCCTCACACTCTACTACTCTGCCTCACACTGACTCTCACTCTGCCTCACACTCTCACTCTGCCTCACACTGACTCTCACTCTGCCTCACACTCTCACTCTGCCTCACACTGACTCTCACTCTGCCTCACACTCTCACTCTGCCTCACACTGACTCTCACTCTGCCTCACACTGACTCTCACTCTGCCTCACACTGACTCTCACTCTGCATCACACTGACTCTCACCTCTGCCTCACACTGACCTCACTCTGCCTCACACTGACTCTACCTCTGCCACGCACTGACTCTCACTCTGCCTCACACTGTCGACTCTCACTCTGCCTCGCACTGACTCTCACTCTGCCTCGCACTGACTCTCACTGCCTCGCACTGGACTCTCACTCTGCCTCACACTGACTCACACTGACTCTCACTCTGCCTCGCACTGACTCTCACTCTGCCTCACACTGACTCTCACTCTGCCTCACACTGACTCTCACTCTGCCTCACACTGACTCTCACTCTGCTTCGCACTGACTCTCACTCTGCCTCACACTGACTCTCCCTCTGCCTCACACCGACTCCCCTCTGCCTCACACCGACTCTCCCTCTGCCTCACACCGACTCTCCCATCTGCCTCACACCGACTTCCCTCTGCTCACACCGACTCACTCTGCCTCACACTCACTCTGCCTCACACTGACTCTCACTCTGCCTCACACTGACTCTGCCTCACACTGACTCTCACTCTGCCTCACACTGACTCTGCCTCACACTGACTCTCACTCTGCCTCACACTGACTCTCACTCTGCCTCACACTGACTCTCACTGTCTCGCGCTGACAGTCACTCTGGCTCCCACTGACTGTTAACCAACTTTGGACTGACGGGAACTATGTGATGTTAGACCGAGGGGCTCTGTTCGTATACCCTTAACATCAAACATAAAAAAAAATGGCCACATCATACACACTAGGTGTGTATGATGTGGCCTTTTTATAATATGATACACATTAAAATGTGTATCATATTATAAATGGTACTTTAGTACTGACAAATTTATGTGCAACTTGTCAGACACTGCAACATCATGGATTTTTGCTTCCAGTTTTGAAGACACATTGTGCAGCGCCTAGGTAGCGTTATTGCAGGAGGTTTCCGACTGTTGCAGTGCGTCATCAGTCGAGTGTACAGACGTGACAGTAGACGTGGAAGGGTTGTTCTTGTTGTTAGGTGACCAGTGTTTGAGTCTTGAGAGAAAATGGCCAGTCTGTTGGCCTGGCCATATTGTGTGGCAAGGTTGAAGGACTGATTGTCTTTAAAATTGCCTCTCCGTCTAACGTTAGTTAGTAGGTTAATATGCGAGGCCAGGAGCTGCACTTCGATGCCCCCTCCCCACCCACACACATATATGTATGTGGGTGGGGGTGTGTATATGGGTGTGTATATGTGTATGTATATGTGTGTAAATTATGCTCAGATGAGCATACACCATTCCACAGACCTTTCACGTACAAACATGCACTTGCGTACCCATACGGACACGTCTGTGTACATACATTTATACACACCACAAACTACAAACAGGTCAAATGTCTATCGACAAGTGCCTTTGACAACTGGTAACTAAAACACACACACACACACACACACGCATGAATCGACCCCTGCAACCACAAATAGGCGAGTACAAATAGGTGAGTACACACACACAGGCCAAGTGTCTAATCGACAAGTGCCTTTGACAAACTGGTAACTAACACACACAACACTGCAGCCACCATCACAAACCTATCAAAAACACACACACCCCACACCATAAACACCATTTCAGAGACCTCCAAACACACCTCACCTCTATTCCACCACAACACCACTACTGCAACACTGCACTACCATCCTACCACCACCAACCCCATCCCAACACACCACCACCACCATCACCACCACCACCACCTACCGTGGGGGCTTTTACCAAGCTGATTGATAATGTTCCGTGTCATTAAGTTCTCGTAGGAGTCCGCTTTAAGAGCAGTTCGCCCGGAAAACACCAACTGAAAAGAGTCCAGACATATATTGCCTGGCGCTCCTTGCGTTATAGCGAATCAATCACTCGCTTCTGGCGAGATATCTTGCATACAAGGTGTGGAAAGCCATACCTTCGAGTCTTGGATGCGGAGACGGCTGCTCTGGTGGCCATTCTCACCCTGCTTGAGGGGTATCTGGCTGAGTTGAGGGTGGCAATGCAGAGTTGAATGTATTCGTGAGATGGATGACTTAACATTTTTACCTTGGTGGATGATTGATGGTGAGGATGATTAATGTACGGTAGGGGGGGGGTTAGAAGGAGGGGTGATATGGGGAATGTACAGTCCTGCCTGCCTCTCTGACTGCCATGCTAGTCTGCCTGCCTGCCTGTCTTTCTGTCTGTCTAGCTGCTTTCCTGCCTCTCTGACTGTTAGTCTGTCTGCCTGTCTTTCTGCCTGACTGCCTGGCTGTCTGCCTGTCTTTCTGTCTGACTGCCTGGCTATCTGCCTATCTGTTTTCCTGCCTTTCTGACTGTCTGCTAATCTGTCTGCCTGCCTTTCTGTCTGCCTGCCTGCCAGCCTCTCTGTCTACCTCTCTGCTTGTCTGTGGTCTGCCTGTCTGCATGCCTGCTATCCTGAGAGAGAGAGAGAGAGAGAGAGAGAGAGAGAGAGAGAGAGAGAGAGAGAGAGAGAGAGAGAGAGAGAGAGAGAGAGAGAGAGAGAGAGAGAAAGGAAGAGAGAGAGAATTATGTATGTATAATAGAACTCTCCATTAAACATTACGACCCACCATGACTAAACCGGGTGAACATTCAAAACATTTACATATAATGTACATATTTATACATATATACGCAACTCACGCGGAGTTTTGTAATGCACTTGTGCGCCTGTAGGCACGACCGCAGCTGCGCGCACGTGCATAGGAGTACATGGGAAAAACAGATAGCAGAGGACCTGAAAGCCCACATTGAGAGTACCAGTACTCACGAGTACATCTGAATACAGGTGTACTCACGTGTAAAGCTGTACTCTTGTTTGTTTTTTCTTAGCTTTCCTTTATCCAGTTCTTCATTCCCTGTTGATTTTCCTAATTTTTCAAGATTTCAACTAATGCTAGAGTTCTACCTTGTCAAGGCCTTCTTCCAGTCAGGGAATATACATTATTATTATATTTTTTTTTATCACACTGTTGTTAGGTAAGACACATATGCAACAGTTAGGTATCTTTATTTCGAAACGTTTCGCCTACA